TGGATGCCCCCCTTGAAGGCTATAAATACCCCCCGAGGGTCCTCTCCAAAGGTAATTGAAAAACCGAAGTCAAACTTAGCTCTTGATTCACATTTGGTAGCTCTGATTATTGCTGACTTAGGCATCAGAGTGTCTACCCCGAGGACCCACCTCGGGGCTTTGCAGGTCTACCGAAGTGAGCAAACAGGACCTTGAAGTACCCAAGTTCCCTTGCAACTACATTGGCGCCGTCTGTGGGAAATCGAGCTAAAAGCCTTAGTTAGCGACTGTCGCAATGGTGAACACACGCTCAGCACAACACGGAAGCCCTCAACAAGGGCGCGGCAGAGGTCAACTTCCCGGTGGGAACCTCGCATCTCATACCGCCCCACCCCCTACAACCCAACCTCAGCATATAGAGGGAACTGGGGAGAACAATCCAAATTCAGCAGAAAACCTAAACCCCATAGCCACCCAACTCAATGTCATGCAGCAGCAGTTCGGCGTGTTTCAACTTGTGCTCGCGCAACTGTTAGCCAGGGATAACCCAGGTGACCCCCTCATTACCCTACTCAATCCCACCAACCAAATACCTACCCAACAGCCTCAACACAATATGACCTCACCAGCCCGAACTGCAACTCTACCTTGCAACGACTCTCCAGCCCACTCACACATGGCACCTCTACCTCAGCCCCCACCTCAGCCGGCCGTCTCAGACCTTCCCAAGGGGAACTCCGAAAAAATGCTGCCCGAGAACCGAACTCCACAAACTCTGGCCCTCCCGAGTTCAGCCCCAATCCCCACCCCCCTCAATCCCAACATTCTCCAAGAGCCGTACCCGTCAGGGTTCCGAATGCCACAGCTTGAAACATACGATGGCACTAAAGACCCCGATGACCACTTGCATGCCTTTTGCTCCATTATGTAGGCTCAGAATGCCTCAGATGCCTTGATGTGCAAGATATTCCCTTCTACATTGCGAGGAAACGCTCGGACCTGGTATTATAGCTTGCAGCCAAGCTCAGTCAGTTCCTATGCCGAGCTGGCAGCGTTCTTCGCAACCAAGTTCTCCAGTCGTCGGTTAATTAAGAAGACGACCTCCGAGCTCATGCGAGTGGCCCAGAGGGAAGGCGAATCCCTTAAAAATTATATGAATAGATTCAACGATGCAGTGCTCGAGATCAGCTCTTTCAATCATGGTATGGGGTTGGCTGCATTGATTGTAGGCCTCAAGCATGACAGATTCCGGGATAGCCTGATCAAGCATGCACCTACCACCTTTGATGAGGCCAACGAAAGATCATGGAAATTCATTCAAGCGGAGGAATATGCTTTGTCCGACAAAGCAACTCTGAGTAAAGAGGTCAGACCTCCGGCCTGGAGAGATGAAGGGCAGAACAAGAAGAGATTTAAACCTGCACAGAATCGAGGCCCATTCCCGCCCAGGGTAGACAGACCCCCAGCTGTAACTCAACCCATGTCAAAGGAAATCACCTGGACTCCATTTATACTGCCGAGGTCGTAGATTTTAATGCAAATCAAAAACAAAATGGAGCTGAGAAGGCCCCTACCCATGCGGAGTCCCCCTGCCACCCGAAATCATAGCAAGTACTGCGACTTCCACCAGGACCACGACCATACCACGGAGGAATGTCAAAGCCTGAAGTCAGAACTGGAAGGCTTAGCTCGGAAAGGCATGCTCAATGAGTACGTCTCTAAAGGGGATCAGCCTAAATTCGTCCGGGAACAAGGACGACCAGGGGCACCTCGAGAGGCAAGCAACAGGGTCAGTGTTGGCTACCAACAAGCACCACCTCCACTCCCCCCACCCTCACGTATCATTCATATGATCACAGGAGGGTTAGAAGCTGGCGGAATGAGCTCAAAACAGCAGAAGTTGTATGTTCGGGAAGTCAAACATCATAACCGGGTTTAGAAGAGAAAATTCGATGAGACAGATTAGAGGAACCAACCCATAACTTTCAACGCAGTTGATTTTGATGGTGTTATCACCCCACACAATGATCCACCCGTCACCTCGGTCATTGTTAACAGCTGTAAAGTCCACCGCGTCCTTGTTGACACAGGAAGCGCTCCGGACATAATGTACTATCATTGTTTCGAGAGCCTAGGTCTGACCCAGCTCTCCTACAGAAATATGACGGTCCTATCTACGGCTTCAACAATCAACCAGTCCCTGTGGAAGGCGTACTCACGCTTAAGGTAGCCTTCGGTTCAGGTCGGACATATGTTACTCCGTCAGTTCAGTTTTTGGTCGTAAAGATGGCATCCTCTTTCAACATCGTCATCGGAAGGCCAACCTTGACAGAAATCTGAGCTGTTGTTTCGCAGTCCCACCTATGCATGAAATTCCCCACCCCTATGGGAGTAGCAACTCTGAGAGGTAATCAAGAAGTAGCTCGGCACTGCTATATGACCTCGGTCACTTTACCTCGGAAGGATAAGCTAGTAATGCCAGCTCCAATTCAGGCAAAGATACCATCCGCCCAGCAGGTAATGGGTATAAAGCTGCCAGACTATAGACCTGATGACGACGCTAGAGCAACCCCAGTAGAAGAGGTGGAAGAAATACAGCTTGACCCCAATGACCCCACCAGAAAAACACAGATTGGCACTAAACTCAAGCCGGAAGAGAAGGAAGAACTCATTGATTTCCTGAAGTCGAACGGGGACGTCTTCACCTGGACCTCGGCAGACATGCCTGGGATACCAGCTTCTGTTGCAGTCCATAAGCTCGGCACTAACCCTTTGAAAAAGCCTATAACACAGAAAAGGCGTCTGTTCAGGGGAGAGAGGCTACAAGCAATCAAGGAAGAAGTGCAGAAGCTCTTACAAGCGGGCTTTATTAGGCGGGTAGACTATTGTGAATGGGTCGCCAACCCCGTCCTTGTCAAGAAGTCAAACGGCAAATGGCGTATGTGCATTGATTACACTAATCTAAATGACGCCTGCCAAAAGACTACCACCCCTTGCCAAACATAGACAAGCTGGTAGAGGCCGCATCTGGAAATGAAAGACTTAGCCTTTTGGATGCTTACTCAGGATATCACCAGGTCCACATGGCATCCGAGAACGAAGTCAAGACCTCCTTTTATGCCGGAGACGAGATTTATTGTTATGTCATGATGCCATTTGGGCTCAAAAATGTAAGAGCCACATACCAAAAAATGGTGACTATTGTATTCCGAGCTCAGATCGGTAGGAACTTGGAAGTCTACGTTGATGACATAGTGGTCAAGAGCCGCAGAGCAGAAGATCACCTGACCGACTTGGGGGAGACATTTAATAATTTAAGAAGGCACAGTATGAAGTTGAATCCAGCCAAGTGCGTCTTCGGAGTTGAATCTGGAAAATTCTTGGGGTTCCTAGTCTCTAGAAGGGGAATAGAGGTCAATCCCAAAAAAATAAAGGCGATAGAAGAGATGAAACCGCCGAAGTCAATCAAAGATGTACAATGCCTAACTGGGCGAGTGGCAGCCCTGCACAGGTTCATTTCCAAATAGGCTGATAGATGTCTGCCTTTCTTCAAAATCCTCAGATCTACAACTCAGAAAGGCGAAACCGAGAAACCCAGAAAGTTTGAATGGACTCCGGAGTGTCAAACCTCTTTCGAAGAGCTCAAGGCATACCTTAGCTCACCCCCCTATTAACCAAAGCCGAAGAGGGGGAGACACTTTACCTCTACCTCGGAATCTCAGATACAGCACTCAGCTCGGTTTTGATCAGGGAAACAGCACAGTTGCAGAGGCCAGTCTATTACGCAAGCAAAGTGCTGTAGGGAGCCGAATTGAGGTACTCCACGGCAGAAAAAGCAGCTCTTGCGGTCGTCGCTACAGCCAGGAAGTTAAGGCCGTACTTCCAAGCCCATCCCATTGTTGTTCTGACTGACCTACCCCTGAGACAGATTTTGCAGAAACCAGAATGTTCAGGCAGACTCATCAAGTGGGCAGTGGAGTTGGGAGAGTTCCAGATCACCTTTCAACAGAGGTCATCAGTCCGAGGTCAGGGTCTAGCAGATTTTGTAGTTGAGTGTACCTCCGACCAGAAAAACGTTGACACCGAAGTCGAACAGTGGACTCTTTATGTGGATGGTGCGTCTAACAACAAAGGGGCAGGAGCTGGCACGGTACTAATTGGACCAGAACACTTCCGAAGTGAGCATGCTCTGAAGTTCAACTTCGAAGCAACCAACAACATGGCCGACTATGAGGCCCTTCTGCTCGGACTTCGTCTTGTGGCCAAACTGAAAGTCACATCTCTCCAGGTCTACAGCGACTCCCAGCTGGTGGTCAATCAAGTAAATTCCCTTTGCGAAGTAACAGACCCAGTTTTAGCCAAATACCTAGCCCTCGTCTCTAAGCTGAAGTGCCAATTTGAGCAATTCAGGCTCACAAAAGTTCCGAGGTCAGAAAATGAACATGCAGATTCTCTATCACGACTGGCCTCCGACACCTCCCGAGGGGGGAGATCTGTTTACGTTGAAGTCCTAAATGCACCAAGCTTCCAGAAGATAGAAGTACTGGAGGTCAGTACTGACCCCGAAACTCCGAGCTGGACTGACCCCATCAAAGCCTACCTACAAGATGGAACTGTCCCAACCGATAAGCAAGAGGAGCTGAAGCTACGGAGAAAAGCGTCAAGATACACCTTGCTTGATGGCATCCTGTATAAAAGGTCCTACTCACTTCCCCTTCTCCGCTGTTTAACCCCCTATGAGGCCGAGTATGCTCTCCGCGAAGTGCACGAGGGTGTATGTGGAAGCCATGTCGGAGCTCAGACTTTGGCTCATAAGGTGCTTTGTCAAGGATACTACTGGCCCAACATGCAGGAGGATGCCGCGCAATTTGTGCAGAAGTGCCAAAAGTGTCAATTCTTTGCACACCTGACCCACCAGCCAGCAAAAGAACTCAGAAACTTAGTGGCACCATGGCCTTTTGCCCAATGGGGGCTGGATCTGCTGGGTCCTTTTGTCAAAGGTGTGGGGGGAGTAACACATCTGGTTGTGGCGGTCGACTACTTCACAAAATGGGTCAAAGCACGACCCCTATCCAGTCTGACCTTAAGAAGGATTGAAGATTTTGTCTTCAGTGCAATCATCTGCCGATACGGCATACCGAATCAAATTGTCACCGACAATGGGCCTCAGTTCAATTGCACCTCCTTCAGGGATTTCTGCTCCAGCTATGGAATTAAATTACTGTTCACTTCGGTTTATCACCCTAAGACTAATGGAATGGTCGAATCAGTGAACAAAGCTATTCTAGAAGGAATTAAGCCGAGGTTGGACCAGCTCAAAGCCAAATGGGCAGACGAGCTCAACAACGTATTGTGGGCATACCCAACTACCACCAGGACGGCTACGGGCGAAACGCCCTATCATCTGGCTTTTGGGACGGAGGCAGTTATTCCCGTCGAACTCGGCGTCCCGAGCTTATGAGTTAGCCATTTTGACTCAACTCGAAATGACCTGCTACTCTGGGAAGACCTTGACCTCTTGGATGAAGTCCGTGAGCACGCTCGACTCCGGACAATAGCATATAAGCAGAAGATCGCCAACTTTTATAACAAACGAGTTCGACCTCGAAGCTTCAAGATTGGTGACCTCGTCCTCAAAAAGGCAGGACTCACCGGCTTCGAGACCCGCTTCGGCAAGCTAGCACCGAACTGGGAAGGCCCGTATGTAGTGGCTGAAGTACCCCACCCCGGCGCTTATGTACTTCAAGATGCCGAGGGTAAAAGGATTCCTAGAGTATGGAATGTAAACAATTTAAAGAAATTCTACTCTTAATAAAGCTCATTCTTGTTCAGCCTAAATGCCGCATTTTTCGAAGTCCAGGCACACTTCTTTTTACCTTGCAATAAATTACGTTCATTTTACCTCCGAACTCGAAGTTCATTACATTCATTTTACCTCCGAACTCGAAGTTCATTACATTCATTTTACCTCCGAACTCGAAGTTCATTACATTCATTTTACCTCGAAACTCGAAGTTCATTACATTCATTTTACCTCTGAACTCGAAGTTCATTACATTCATTTTACCTCTGAACTCGAAGTTCATTACATTCATTTTACCTCTGAATTCGAAGTTCATTACATTCATTTTACCTCTGAACTCGAAGTTCATTAC